TTTTTAAAGAGTACTAAATATAGAACTGAATTTGAGCTCCTGGTGAAGCTCTGTTATTTTAGGAAGATCTTGGGCTTTGTAGTTGGGCAAGCTTCGATTCAAATTCTAACTCTGCAGCTCAGTAGCTGTGTGACAATGGGCAAGTCACTTAACCCTTCTGAGCCTCTTATTTTCTCATCTATAAAATGAGACTGAAGCAATCTACAGATTCAGTGCAATCCCAATCAAAATCCCAATGACATTCTTCACGGAAGTAGAGAAAAGAATACTAAAATTCATATGGGGCAACAAAAGACCCCAAATAGCTAAAGCAATCTTAAGAAAAAAGAACAAAGCTGGAGGCATCACAATCCCTGGTTTCAAAACATACTACAAAGCAATAGTAATCAAAACAGCATGGTACTGGTACAAAAACAGACACACAGATCAATGGAACAGAATTGAAAGCCCAGAAATAAAACCACACATATATGGACAGCTAATTTTCGACAAAGGAGCTAAGAACATACAATGGAGAAAGGAAAGTCTCTTCAATAAATGGTGTTGGGAAAACTGGACAGCCACACGCAAAAGAATGAAAGTGGACCATCTGCTATCGCCATTCACAAAAATTAACTCAAGAATCAAAGACCTGAAGGTGAGACCTGAAACTATAAAACTCATACAAGGAAATATAGGCAACACACTATTTGACATTGGTCATAAAGGAATCTTTTCGAATGACATGCCTACCCAGACTAGGGAAACTAAAGAAAAAAATAAGCAAGAGGGACTTCATCAGATTAAAGAGCTCCTACAAGACGAATGAAACCAGAATCAAGATGAACAGACAACCCACCAGCTGGGAGAAAATATTTGCAAAACATATATCTGACAAGGGGTTAATCTCCTTAATATATAAAGAACTCACACAACTGAACAAGAAAAAAACAAACAACCTAATCAAAAAATGGGCAGAGGAAATGAACAGACACTTCTCCAAAGAAGATATACCGATGGCCAATAGGCACATGAAAAGATGTTCAACATCACTAATCATCAGGGAAATGCAAATCAAAACAACACTAAGATACCACCTCACGCCCGTTAGAGTGGCTATAATCACCAAGACAAAAAACAACAAACGTTGGAGAGGATGTGGAGAAACAGGAACCCTCATACACAGCTGGTGGGAATGCAAACTGGTGCAGCCTCTATGGAAAACGGTATGGAGATTCCTCAAAGAATTAAAAATAGAGATGCCCTATGATCCAGCCATCCCACTACTGGGAATCTATCCAACGAACCTGAGATCAACAATCCAAAGAGGCTTATGCACCCCTATGTTCATTGCAGCATTAGTCACTATAGGCAAGAGGTGGAAGCAACCTAAGTGTCCCTCGACTGATGATTGAATCAAGAAGATGTGGTGTATATATATACAATGGAATACTACTCAGCCATAAAAAAAAGACAAAATCGTCCCATTTACAACAACATGGATGGGCCTGGAGGGTATTATGTTAAGTGAAATAAGCCAGAAAGAGAAAGACAAACACTGTATGATCTCACTCATATGTGGAATATAAACCAGCACATGGACAGAGAAAACTGTATTGTGGTTACCAGGGGCAAGGGGGGTGGGGGGTGGGCACAAGGGATGAAGGGAGACACATACATGGTGATGGACAAACAAAAATGTACAACCCAAAATTTCACAATGTTATAAACTATTAAAACATCAATAAAAAAAAATGAGACTGATAATCCCTATATCTCATGGTTGTTATAAGGACTGATACAGCCATGTTTTCCATAATACGGGAACTGATGACATGCCCTTTTTGATTTGTCTTAGAAGCCTTGTGACTTTTTCAGGGATAAACTTCTTCCTCTAGGGCGAGCTAATCTTTAACTGATTGCTGATACTTGGCTCTAAAGAGAGCCAACATTTGGCTTCATCCGGTACACCGTGCTTTCTCTTTTCTGTTATTTATTTTTATAATAGCGAGGTACGCTGGTGTTTCATTTCCTGTAGTGATATGTAGTTTCTTTTAAAATAAATTTGTTTAAATTAGAAGTTAATAATAACATCAGTGTGCTGTAGTTAAGACATAAATTGTGCAGGTGGTGTGTGGGTATGAATCCCAGCTCTGCTGCCTCTTGGCTGTGTGACGTTGGGCAGGTCATTTATGTCTCTGAGCCTCGGTTTCCTCATCTGTAAAATGAGGATGGCAACAGTACTATCTCGTGGGTTTGTTGTGAAGTTCAGGTGAGATAACAGAGCCCTCAGAACAGCATCTGGCACACACAGAGTACGGGCACACCTCGGAGATGTTGCGGGTTCAGTTCCAGACCACTGCGATAAAGCAAATATTGCAGTAAAGTGAGTCACACGAATTGTTTTGGTTCCCACTGCATATAAAAGTTATGTTTACACTATACTGTGGTCTCTTAAGTGTTGCAATAGCATTATATCTAAGAAAACAATGTACATACCTTAATTAAAAATATTTTATTGATACAAGATGTTAACCATCATCTGAGCCTTCAGAGAGTTGTAATTTTGTTGCTGGTGGAGGGTCTTGCCTCGCTGTGGATGGCTGCTGACTGATCAGGGTGGTGGTTGCTGAAGGCTGGGTGGCTGTGGCAATTTCTTAAAATAAGACAACAGTGAAATTTCCCACATCGATTGACTCTTCCTTTCATGAACAATTTCTCTATAGCATGAGATGCTGTTTCATAGCATTTTATCCACAGTGGACCTTCTTTCAAAATTAGAGTCAATCCTCTCAACACTGCCACTGCTTTATCAACTAAGTTTGTGTAATATTCTCAATCTTTTGTTGTCATTTCAACAATCTTCACAGCATCTTGACCAGGAGTATATTCCATCTCAAGAAACCACTTTCTTTGCTCATCTTTAAGAAGCAACTCCTCATCCATTAAAGTTTTATCATGAGATTGCAGCAATTCAGTCACATCTTCAGGCTCCACTTCTAATTCTAGTTCTCTTGCTGTTTCCACCACATCTGCTATTACTTCCTCCACTGAAGTTTTGAACCTCTCCAAGTCATCCATGAAGGTTGGAATCAAATTCTTCTAGACTCCTGTTAATGTTGATATTTTGACCTCTTCCCATGAATCACAAATGTTCTTAATGGCATCTAGAACGGTGAATCCTTTCCAGAAGATTTTCAGTTTACTTTGCCCAGATCCATCAGAGGCATCACTATCTATGGCAGCTGTAGCCTTACAAAGTGTATTTCTTAAATAATAAGACTTGAAAGTCAAAATTATTTCTCAATCCACAGGCTGCAGAATGGATGTTGTGTTAGCAGGCATGAAAACAACATTAATCTCATTGTACATCTCCATCAGAGCTCTTGGTTGACCAGGTGCATTGTCAATGAGCAGTAATGTTTTGAACGGAATCTTTTTTTCTGAGCAGTAGGTCTCAATAGTGAGCTTAAAATATTCAGTAAACCATGTTGTAAACAGATGGGCTGTGATCCAGGCTTTGTTGTTCCACTTATAGAGCACAGGCAAAGTAGATTTAGCATAATTCTTAAGGGCCCTAGGATTTTCAGAATGGTAAGTGAGCATTGGCTTCAACTTAAAGTCACCAGCTGTATGAGTCCCTAGCAAGAGAATCAGCCTGTCCTTTGAAGCCAGGCTTTGACTTCTCCTCTTTAGCTGTGAAAGTTCTAGATGGCATCTTCTTCCAATATAAGGCTGTTTTGTCTACATTGAAAATCTGTTGTTTAGTGTAGCCACCTTCATTAATTATCTTAACCAGATCTTCTGGATCACTTGCTACAGCTTCTATATCAGCAGTTGCTGCTTCCCCTTGCACTTTTATGTTATGGAGACAGCTTTTTTCCTTAAACCTCATGAACCAACCTCTGCCAGCTTCAAACTTCTTTTCCAGCTTTTTCACCTCTCTCAGCCTTCATAGAATTGAAGAGAGTTAGTTAGGGCCTTGCTCTGGATTAGGCTTTGGTTTAAGGGAATATTGTGACTGGTTTGGTCTTCTATCCAGACCACTCAAACTTTCTCTGTTTCAGCAGTAAGGCTGTTTTTCTTATAATTTGTGTGTTCACTCAAGTAGCCCTTTTAATTTCCTTCAAGAACTTTTCCTTTACGTTTACAAATTGGCTAACAGTTTGGCACAAGAGGCCTAGCTTTCAGCCTGTGTCGGCTTTCAACATGCCTTCCTCACTAAGCTTAATCATTTGTAGCTTTTGATTTAAAGTGAGAGACATATGACTCCTACTTTCACTTGAACATTTAGAGGCCATTGTAGGGTTATTAATTGTCCTAATTTCAATATAGTTGTGTCTCGGACTAGGGAGGCCTGAGGAGAAGGAGAGAGACAGAACGGCCTGGTAGTGGAGCAGTCAGAACACACACATTAATCAGCTGTTTGCTATCTTACATGGGTGTGGTTCATGGTGCCCCAAAACAGTTATAATAGTAACATCAAAGATCACTGATTGCAGATCACCATAACAAATGTAATGATAATGAGAAGTTTGAAATATTGCGAGAATTACCAAAATGTGACACAGAGACACGAAGTGAGCAAATGCTGTTGGGAAAATGGTGCCAGTAGTCTTGCTTGATGTAGAGTTGCCACCAACTTTCAATTTGTAAAAAATGCAGTATCTGTGAAGTGCAATAAAGCGGAGCACAATAAAACGAAGTATGCTCGTACCATAAAAGTGTCAACCAGAAATGTTTTTCTTGTGCAAACGACTGATCTCTGGGAAGCCCAGAGCGGGGGTAGGTAAAGTGCAGAGTCTCTGACGTAGGAGGGTGGGCAATAAATGGTAGCTGGTGCTATTGTTTTGATTATTTAATAATGATGATATTAATAATAGTCATAATAATAAACTAGGAGGTAGCATTTGTTGTTCTGGAAATTAATTTCCTGGGGAAGAAACTCTCAGGCAGCTTGATAGGGTCCAGTGAGATTCCAAGGTTCAAATCCGTCTTTTCTCTTGGTTCGACTTTTCTAGGCCAAGCCCAGCATTCGGTGCTTCATTAAACCCACCGAGACACTAGAGCGGTCCCTTGAGATGAACAAGCACAAGGGCAAGAGGCGGGTGCAAAAGAGACCCAACTACAAAAACGTTGGGGAGGAAGAAGATGAGGAGAAAGGGCCCGCCGAGGATGCCCAAGAAGACGCCGAGAAGGCTAAAGGTACAGAGGGTGGTTCAAAAGGCATCAAGACGAGTGGGGAGAGTGAAGGTGAGTGCGCCTGCGAACGCCACCCTGCCCGCACTGCGAGCGAGGCTGTCATTTTGTCTGGTCCCCCCTCGTGTGTCAATGGGTGCTTCTGTTCATTCCTGACACAGGTGTACCTCATTCTGTACGACCCAGCCATTCGGAGGCAACTATGGGCAGATCCGGTACAAGACCCGCCCTCATTGGATGGGTGACCTGGAGCGAGGTTTTTTACTCATAACCCCGTGCCTCAGTTTCCCCATCTGTAAAAAGAGGGTAACAAAGAATATCTACTTTGTTATTTTGAGAATTAAATGAGTAAATACACGTAAAGTGCTCAGAACAGTGCCTGGCCTATGTCATAAGTATTTGCTGCTGCTGCTACTATTACTACTATTAATTTTATCATTATCTTTGTGATTGCTGCTCTTATTATTCCCCATAACCTGGAATTATGATTTTTGACAGAAGTCATTATTTCCAGTGCACTGAAGGAAGACAAGGGACCCCTGTTTAATGAAATTATATGCATTTAATAGGATAATGTTTTTTGGGATTCAGATAATCAAATGGAGTCCCCCAGGTTCTTACATTAAGATTTTTTAAAGTCCTCTCTGTTTAGAATGAGGTACACTTGTGTTTGGTGCATATGTGCTCAATAAGCAGAATCGTTCAGTCCTCTTTTTGCCCTTGTTGGGATGATTCTGGTTTATTCTTCACTTCCCTCTTGTTGAGATACTGAACCTTTCTCGATCTGGAGAGCATTGTCTGCTCTGGGATTAAGTGTGCTTGAACTGTCCAGTTCCCTGTGTCATGGGCCAGGCTCATAGCCACACAGATGGGGTGTCTGGCTTGGGGAGGTCATGGGGTGGAAGTGAGGCAGGGGCTCTGCTCACTGGAGGTGAGCTCTCGCCGCCTCTCCTGGGACAGACACAGGCTCTCAGCGCCGGGCTGTGGTCTGCTAGGAGTGTGGGGAGCACTTCTTGCGAGCCGTCCTCCTGGGCCCTGGGCTACAGTAGCTGCTCTGAAGCCAGACCCGTCAGCCTGGACTGTGTGAGTCTCCCAGTCCACGGCATCTGAAGCTGGAAAACAGAGCAGCTCAGTAAATCAGTGACTGGGAACTCATTTGTGTTTGGGAGTTTGCCACATTTATGCAGCCAAAACCAGCCCCTGTCCCCACCCCTCTGGCCCCATTCTGATTTTCTTGGCGGTTGTCAGCGAATGCCATGATCACATTTTGATAAGTGTAACCAGAGCGTCTCTCTGGTGCCACCCATCTCTCTTTTTAAGGCAGAGATCTCCAGCATGCCTTTAGTTCTGTTCAAAGTGTGCAGTCAGCATTTTGGTTTAGGAGTTCTTTTTTGGCTTGGGAAATCTTTGCCAACGAATATCACTTTGGTGGGGAGGTGAGGGGCAAGCACAAGGTAAGCCATACTCATTTGCTTATTTGGATCATTTTGATTTTTTTTTTTTAACTCGGAAGAAAATCGTCTGCTTAAACCCTAGGTTTAGCTGTGCTGTAGCCACACTGGGGGAAAATGGACAACTTCACCCCATTTTGTACACTGTGTTCTCATCAATTTTGTTTTGGAAAGATGCTGCCTCTTTCGTTCCAGTCCTTTTAAGGGCTGCTCTCTGACCAGGCCCGGGCCATGACTAACCGTGGTGTGGACAGGGCAGGCCCGGCCTCAAACACACAATCACATGAGTCAGCCAGGCGGCCCAGTCCTGGCGCACGGGGGCTTCAGTGGCTCAGCAAGGCTGCCGTTCCAGCTCACTGTTGGGATTGGGGTAAGGACTCCCTGCACGCTGAGCCCACCTGCCCTATGCAGGGGGCAAGGGGAGAAATATTCACTAGCCTCCAAAAACGTGTTTTCTGGGTGGTTACTTGGCCAAGTTGCGCCAGGCAGGGCCCTGGAATTTCCCCAGCAGCCTTGCCTGGACAGTTGATGCTGACTTCAGGGCTCAGTGGAGCGCGGCTCTCAATGACCCCCTCGGCATTTTGGTGCTCTCCTGTTTTCTCAAATGCATATTAGTCATTCCAAAATATGATGGGCCTGTTGTCTTCCCACCCAGCTCACCATAAATAGGTACAACTTTTCCAGGCCTATCTGGCAGACACGCCTAACCGGGCAGCAGCGGTTGTAGTCGGGAGCTTTTTGAATTGTATACTTGATCTCTTAGTTATTCTCAAATTTGAAGGCGTGGCTGGTGGGTGTTCTCTCCTTAGATTGTATCAGTGCTTGAGTGAAACCACACAGCTGTGAATTCCTGTGACTTGGAACGGTGTCAGGCATATTTTCTCATTCAGTTTCAAGCCGGAGGACAGTGTAGATGGGGGGAGGTGCCCCCGGAGATGGGAGATTGACTTGCAGTCCTGTCTCAACATCCAGGTTTCTTGTGGGCCTTGGATCTTCTCCTTAAGCTCTGGACCTCTTTTTTCCCATCTGGAAATGATGAATATAGAAAATATAATTCACATGTTGACTTTTTTTTTTAATGAGTATTTGTTAGGATCCTTGCATTTGCAGGATTTAGAAATTCTACTCAGACTGGCTTAAGCAAAAAGGGTGATTATTGTTCACATCACTGGGAGGCTTGGGCAGGGCTGGATTCAGGTGCAGAGATGACCATTGGCAGCGCGAGGCTCGCATCCTGCTAACTTAGCCAGCAAGTGGAGAGGGAGCTGGTCCTTCCCACTGGCTGCAGCGGAAGGCTGGGGGCCGATGCTCGTAGCTGCTGATAGTCCTGGCTTGTCCACCGCTGTGGAGGGATGTTCTGTGCTTTGTGGCCAGGCCTGGGTCACGTGTCCACGCTACTGTGACTCCCTCAGTAAACAATGAGGTGCGCTCGTGAGAAGAGGGAGCGTGGGTGCTGGGCTGGCAGGAACAACAGGTGCTTCGCTGGGAAGCCGCACTCTGTTTCTGTGGACCCTCGTCCCCTCAGGGCTGTCTTCTCCCTTCCTGTTTTGAGGTGGATGTGTGGCTGTTTTCTCCTGCAAAAGTACTTCTTCTCTAGCAAGCTGCCTGCATTGTCCCTGGATCTAGGGGCTTGTTGACAGCCTGGCTGTAACGGATAGGCACAGGTGACTCTTGAGTAAAGAGATGCTGGCACCAGATCCCCCCATTTTCATGGTAAACTCTTTACCTGAAAAGGTGGTATAAAGCACAGGACTGAAAGGCATTTGGTGACAAGTCACAGCTTTGCCAGGACCTGACTTAAATGTGGCATTAACATGTTTTTTCCTACAAATGCAACACCCAGAGTTCACACCTCCTCCACGTTTAAGCCTAGACGAGGAAGTTGTGTGAAGTGAATGTGCACCCGGGACCCTCCAGTCCCATCCCCGGGTTGCAAAGAAATTGCTCTGCCTCTGGGTCCCAAGTGATGGGCAACTCATTCTGAAACCAAGAAAATCACAGAGCCCCTGAATTTGCAGAAATTGAATACTAAGAGGAACAAGAGGGGAGCCCTAGTCCCTGTAGCCGAAGGAGTGTTCATTCGGATGCCCGTTCGTGTCTTAACTCGCTCTGCAGTCTGAGAGGACAGTCATCTCTTTCTGGATTCTCTTAGAGCAGTGGCTTAATAGACAGACCTGAGACAAGACAACGAGTCGTGTGAACTTCTTGTTTGAAAACTAGGGTTTGGCTTTTGTTTTTTGCCTATGGAAAAAGTAGGCCTCAATTTCACGGCCTGACCTTCAAAGCCTACTCTTTTCCTGGAATCCAGCAAAGGCACGGAGTGAAGGCGACAGTGCTGACTTGGAACCTGCCAGGTTAGCTGGCAGCTGGGGTGCCCGGGAGTCTGGAGCCCCGGCTTTGCCTTTTCTGAAGTCTACTGAAATGAAACAGAACCCTGGCCTCCTTTCTGGCTCCTCTTGCAAAGCCAGAGCCAAACCCTGGCCCGGCAGACCTTTCTGACTGGAATGAGCCGTGGACAAGCTATTGGGGGGTTGGGGTCTGAATCCCAGACGCCTGAAGGGCTGCCCCTGAGCAGCTCTGTGACCCTGGACGGGTCATTGCTTCTCCACCAATAGAGGTGACTTCACGACGCCCAGCCCTCAGGTTGTCAGAAACGAGAACATGAGTGCCTCAGCATCTAGCACTTGATGCATGAGCACTGAGTAGGAACCCTGGCCAAGACAGAGAGCAGAGTGAGGCACTTGAAGGGGCATTTGTGCTTGGTTGGGGGACTTTGTGCTTGAACACCCCAGCGAGTTTCTATGGGGCCTATTTCTCTGTTAGTTTCTATAAGGAATACATGAGGTGGGTGAGCGTGTGTGTCTGTGTGTGAGTGAGATAGTGGGATGGGGCGAGGAGAAGGATCAGGAGGCTGGCCCACCATTGTAGAGACATGTGGGAGTGCCAACTTTTCTAATGGGCTTAACTAGGATAAGGAGAAGGATTGCAGATGACTTTAGACAAATCCTCTGAAAAGCAACTTCCCAGAAAAACATTCTGAATTCAATGCTCTTCAGTAAAAGATAACAAAAAACAAAGGAGGAGGTACCCCAAATATTCAGCAAATACACACCCTGCCATTGCCAGGGGCTATTTGCCTCTTGAAATTCTGCACCAAAGCCACTAGTAGCCTGCAGTCCCTCCCTTGTTTCCTAGGTAAGCAGCAAGGGCATCTTTTTCCTCCTTAGTCAACCTTCTTCTTAAGGCCTTCTTACTCTCCCTGCCCCTCTTTTTATTGTCTGTCCTCGCTGTGATTGCTGGAATGTGGAACACAGAGGGCAACTGAGAAAATCCTTGGGTTTGTGAAGTCAAAGACTGTTGGGAGGTCACGCCTGCCATTTCCCTGAAAAGCGCTTCATTTACCAAATGTTAACAGATTAGAATGTACATCATCCGGGCAAGTTGGTGAATTATTGCCGTTATTTAAAAAATCAGAGTGTTCGAGTATTGGGGAGGTGCATGGGTTTGGCCAGAGTGGTCATCCTGAGAGGCAGAAGTTGACGTCCTTGTGTCCTGGGGGTCCTCAGGCCTCTCCTGTACATTCACAATATCTGCAGCCGTCAC